TTTAAGCTTAATGTATACACACGATTAGAATTGTTGTACTGAAAAATTATCCGACAAGTGGAAAGTCACTGACAAAGTGCCCCTCCCCCCCCCCCTCCCTCCCCCCTCACTAAAGAAAATTATTGTTGGTGAAAGTGAAATGAAAAAGGAAAGGGTGGAGGAGTGGAAAGAGTGGGGGGAGCATCACGCGATAAACCATTATAGCACCCAGCATCAGCACAAGCTACGGTACAGTGAAATACACCCTACTAAAACGTTATCGCTTTTCGATATCAGTGACTCCTCTCTGTACTGAGAGAGGGATGGCCCCATAGGGACTTGTGTAAACCCTTGTTCAAGCAAATATGAGAGCAAACCAAAACAAAAGGCAGAAATCCAACTGACTCTATACATGTATACTATAAACCCAGATTTCATTATTGTTTTCACTGAGCCAAACAGAAAAACAGTGTCTTTTCACTGAACTTCTTCAATCTCAAACGGTACCTGTTTTTGAGCATTTAACTATCTTTTTACCCAATTGGCCATAATGCTAACGTTAGTTTTGGCCCTCGAGTGACATCAGAAAGACAATGTATTTTATATCAGCTCATGTGATCTGAGGAAAGGACGATGCGACCTAGATGAGTCAGCTGTTTTCTAAGTGCTCCGACTGCAACAGGACGTTGTGCAAGCATCAGTGAAAGCCAAAGCAAAACACATTGAAATTTGCTTATGACGTCCTTCAGCCTTTTAAATGTCTTCTGACAAAGGCCCAGCATAAATGCCCCTGCAAAAGAATTTTAAAAAGAAACTGGATACATAATTTACAACAATTGTTAGCACATCAAATCTGTCATTTTTTTTCTGAAACTGAAATCTTTGTTCTTGGATTTGAATTTGGGTGCAGGTGAGTAACGAAGTGTATACAACAGTATACAGACCCGGTAACCGGGAACAAATTCACGAAGTCTAAGTATACAGACCCGGTAGGGGAACTCTTTTGTGATTTGGGAAAGTTTCAGCGCCCAGACCCGGTAGTGTGTGTGTGTGTGTGTGTGTGTTAGTGAGAGTTAAAGAGAGAGAGAGAGAGAAAGGAGAGAGAGAGAGAGCAGGGGGAAGTGCTAGTGAAATGTATGCATGACGTGCCCCAGTTGGCAGGAGGGAACGAGAGAAACAAAGAGTGGGAAATAGGTGGCAGTTGGGGAGAAAGAAAGACAGGGACAAACAAAGAAAAAGAGAATGCGAGTGATAGAGAGAGAGAGAGAGGGTGACTGCTCGATTGAAATTATGACATTGTTCTTTTCTTCAAATTGTGATTCCTCCAACTCCAAAACGGGGGAAAAACGATCGTTCATCGAAAAGACATCCGCAATATTCATTTAGAGATTTAGATCTAGATCTAACCTCGAAACTAGATCAATGATTTATATCTGTCTGTCTAGATCTAGACCTAGGCTATAGATCTAGAAGAACCTAAATCTAGTTCTACCCTGAGCCAAGAAGATGCTGAAACTTTCCGAAATCACAAAAGAGTTCCCCTACCGGGTCTGTATATTTTGTGACTTTGTTCCCGGTTACCGGGGACGGTGACGGGGAAACCGAGACAGAATATAAACAGAAATCTGTCCTCAGAGAAAGTTGCATTTGAAAATAGCAAAAGTTGCTAAAAGTTGCAAGAAAAATAAACAAAATTTGTTAGAAAAGTTGCAATATGTTTATAGCTAAAAAATGTCGTGGAATTATTGGAATACAGTGTCTGTATGCTCATTGCAATCAAAGTAACCAACCAAAGTGAGTTTTGTTAAGATCAAAATGAAAAGTTAAATGTGAATGTGTAGCAACCCCACCCCCCCAAAAAAAACCCCAAAACCCCCCAAAAACCAACAACAACAAAACCCAGCTGCATGGAGGTTGCATGCTGTACAAAAACAGTTTGTCCCCTTACACATGATGCCGTCAGGTCTTCTCTCTGACGTTGGGCAGGTGTGAGCAATAGGTTGGCGGTACCGGCGAAATCCTGTGACATGTGTCGGTACTTTACTCCTAGTTCCGAGAACCGCCTGTACCAGCTCCATTACTGGGAGTGACTCCAGTAGGTGACGTCACAGACATCGCGTCTTGCGTCTAATGCCACGATCAGCGCCGCCCGCATCCCCCCCAAGAGGCAAACTGTGATGCAAAATACCTTTGAAGTTTGCCGTCGCGTGGGATTCAACTCTGTATGTATGCAGAATTTTAAAAATAGTTATCGTCGCTAAAAATTGATTTCATTTTCCGAATCAGCGTATCAATTAATAAGCAAAGTGGCTTGCGGAACCTGATTTGATGCCATATTTTGAATTTAAGCAAATTTTGTAAATTGATTGTCAATTTTGAATCTCAAGTCCTGTATCAATTAAGATCACCTGCTACGTTGTGCGGCCGTGCAGTCCTGGCATTGAAAAGAATAGGACTGACGTGGTGCTAGCGTGTCGAAGGAGGCGACTAAATGGAGAAACCTGGTAGTGACTCCCGAAAAAGAGTCATCCTCCCTCCAGGTCGGGGGTTGAGTCACGAGGCTAACAACCTCTCTCGTAAAAAGAACTTGTTACAGAAACATATACAAGCAAAAACCATTATCTCTGCTTGGCTGGTCATGGATTTTCTCCGAACGGAGAGTTTATGATGGGAAGCAGTGAAAGCCGAAAGGAAGCTGCTGGGCAGAAGCCTCCACCATCATCCAAGTCCAAGTCTCTCCGGATTGGATCGTGGAACATTAGGACCCTTTTTGAGGCTGGAAAAACTGCACAGGTCCTCCAAGAAATGCACCGATACCACCTACACACACTGGGAATCAGCGAGACCCACTTGAACCAGTGTGGACAGAAGCGAATGAAAGAGGGGGAGCTTTTCATTTATTCAGGAAATGACAGTGATGGACCACACAGGGAAGGAGTAGGGATGATCATAGCCAAATCAGCGCAAAAGACATTTAGGAGCTGGGAAGCGCACGGTCCAAGAATCATCATGGCCTCATTTGGAACTAAAAAAGAACTCAAGGAAAGAGATGGTAGGAAGAAGGTCATAAATATGAACATCATACAAGTGTATGCCCCAACCAATGATGCAGAAGTGGAGAGTAAAGATGACTTCTACAATCGCCTGCAGAGTGTGATCAACAAACTTCCAGGTAAGGATATCAACATTGTCATGGGAGACCCAAATGCAAAGGTAGGTTCAGACAATCGTCACTGTGAGGAAATCATGGGCAGACATGGATTAGAAGAGGCAAATGACAAAAGAGAAAGATTCCAAAACTTCTGTGCATTCAACAACTTGGTTATTAGAGGAACAATCTTCCCACATGAAAGAATTCATGAGGCCACTTGGGTCTCCCCGGATGGTACAATGGAAAACCAGATTGACCATTTTTGCATTTCCCGAAAGTTCACTGGAAGACGTCAGAGTCTTATGAGGAGCAGACGTCACATCAGACCATCATTTGATCCTTGGAAAGATGAAACTGAAACTGAGAAGGTTTTCACAAGTCACAACTGGAAGTCGTCTAAAGTATGAAGTGAGCCTTCTGAAAGATCCAGTAAAGAAGAATGAATTCAAGTTGGAACGGAAGAACAGATTTCAAGTCCTTCAAGATCTGGATGACTGTGAAGTAAACGAACACTGGGACAAGATAAAAGAGGCAGTAAATGCAACCTGCCAGAGCATCCTAGGACCCAAAGTCAACACCAGGAATGAATGGATTTCACAGGACTCTCTAGACAAAATCAAAAGAAGAAGAGGGCTGAAGGCCCAAGTCAACAACAACCGTACCCGAACTGAGAAACTCGCTGCACAACAAGAGTACACCGAAGTAAACCGGGAGGTAAAGAATTCCATCAAGAAGGACAAGAATACCTATCTGAATGGCCTGGCCGAAAAGGCAGAGAAAGCAGCAACAGACGGGCACTTGCAGATTGTACACCAGACTACAAAGACTCTTCCAGGTAGGTTCAGCAAGAAGCCCACTCTACCAGTGAAAGATAAAGAGGGAAAGACTATCTTCAACCCAGAGGGGCAACTGAACTGATGGAGAGAACACTTTGATCAACTATTGAACAGACCACCACCAGAAAACCAACCAGAAATTTTTTCAGACAGAAATGACCTCCAAATCGCTACGAACCACCTTCGAGAGAGGAAATTGCTGCAGCTATAACAGCACTGAAGTCCCACAAGGCAGCTGGTCCCGACCATATACCACCGGAAACCCTTAAGGCAGATAAAGATACATCAGTGGAAATACTCTATGCTCTATTCGAAAAGGTTTGGCAAGAAGAGGAAATACCATCAGACTGGAAGGAAGGCCATCTTATCAAGCTGCCAAAGAAAGGAGACCTCAGCAATTGTAATAACTACAGAGGCATAATACTCCTGTCCATACCTGGGAAAGTCTTTAACAGGATACTCCTGGAGAGAATCAAGCTGGCAACAGATGAGAAGCTCAGAGGAAACCAAACAGGATTCCGCAAGAACCGATCATGTGTGGACCAGATCGCTATCCTGCGCATCATTGTTGAGCAATCGCTGGAATGGAATTCACCACTAGTGGTCAACTTCATTGATTATGAAAAGGCATTTGACAGTGTGGACAGGGAAACTCTGTGGAAACTCATGCGGAATTATGGAATACCTGACAAAATCGTCAAGCTTGTGAAGACCTCCTATGATGGAACAAACTGCCAAGTCTTCCACGAAGGACAACTCTCAGAACCATTCCAGGTACAGGCAGGAGTGCGACAAGAATGCCTGCTCTCACCTTTTCTCTTTATACTTGCTATTGACTGGATCAAGAAGGAAACCACCAGAGGCAAGCGTAATGGAATACAGTGAATCCCGTGGCAGCAGCTGGACGACTTGGACTACGCCGATGACCTTGCACTGCTCTCTCACATACATGCTCAGATGCAAGAAAAGACCAAGGAACTCAACAGCCTGTCAATGAGTGTTGGCCTCCGTATACACCCAGGCAAGTCAAAATTAGTGAAGCTAGGAAAAGTGTCAAGCCCTGCTGTGACAGTGGAAGACACTCCCTTGGAAGAAGTGGACTCCTTTACCTACCTTGGAAGTGTCATCGATGGTAAAGGTGGAACTGAGGCAGATGTAACAGCAAGAACCGCCAAGGCAAGGTCAGCATTCAAGCAATTATCAAAAGTCTAGAAAGCAAGCAACATCTCACTGCACACCAAGATTCGACTCTTTAATTACAATGTCAAGTCTGTGCTCCTCTACGGCTGCGAAACTTGGAAGACAACAAAGATAGTGCTGAATAAAGTCCAGACTTTCATCAACAGATGTACGAGGAGTATCCTAAGAATTAAGTGGCAGGATAGAATAAGAAATGAAGAGCTATGGGAAAGGACAGGACAAAAGGATATAGAGGTAAAAATCGGACTAAGAACGTGGCGTTGGATGGGACACACCTTCAGAAAGCCCAGCGGAAACATCACAAGACAGTCACTGCAATGGAACCCACAGACAGCACGAGGTAGGGGTAGGCCACGAGAGACATGGAGGAGATGTGTGGAAAGGGACATGAGAAAGATGAAGCTCACTTGGAACGAGCTAGGAAGGATGGCCCAGGATAGAGATAAATGGAAGGAGCTTGTATATGTGGCCTATACCCTGCCAAGGGTGAAAGGCATTGATGATGCTGCGTTGTGCATCTGACGTCACAGCTGCTAGACCTAGGCCTACACACTGCACACTTCCCGTGGCCCGATAAAAAAACCAAAACCGTCGCGTCAGCTCCTTCACAGAGCCGGTATTAACCTTTGGTGTCAGCTCCTTCCCACAGCAGGTACTGGAGGCCAGGTGCCGGTACTGACACTGACTTCGGTAGATCTGGGAGTTCTGGTACTGGGTACTGGT